AAACACATTGGAAGAGATTTTTTTGCCACATTTGTAAATCATTTAAAATTTTTAAAATTGTATTTTGTATATCCAAAAACATTTTGTTTAGTTTCTCCAATATAAATTAAGTCACAGTTTGAGCAATTGATTTTTTCCAATTTTTAATGTTTTGAACTGGAAAATTATATAAAAGTTTGTCTTTGCTTTATTATCTAGCATATCATTCTTCTATATTTTATTTGCCAGTTTTGATTAATTATATATTATTATTAAATATATAACAGTTATATAATTAAATTTTACAAATTTAAAATTTATCACATGATTTTTGTTATTAAAAAATGCCTTTAGTCCTTGGACAATATTAGAATTATTTTTTACAGTTTAAATACTTTCTATTCTTTACTTAACATCTTATAAAATTGTTATAAAAATATTTTTTATATAATTTTTTATGAAATATTATATGTAACTCTTGTAAATATTATTTTTATATAACTCTTATGCTTAGATCCTCCAAATTAACACACTTAAACAAAATTAACAGTTGTCTCCTAAATTATAATTTATATTTAAATATCACATGTTTTTTTTTAAATAAATTGGTGTACTTAATATAATGATATCAAATTTAATATTGTTATATTAGGCACACCAAGAAGTCCATCACAAATTTAAAAGCCTATTCTGGAATGTATAAATAAAATTGATTAAAAAATCTTATTTAGACATATCTAAATATTGTTATTTTTGGCTCAAAAAACTTTCAAAGTTGATTTTGTAAGACAAAAAGAAGAGTCATGACCAAGAGAAATATTTAGTAGATATTTATTAATTTGTATCATTATATGGATTAATTTGTGATCTTGATGTGGTAAATCAAGAAATTGCAGGAAAATTTCGAAATAGATATATATTTGTACAAATACTATAATTAAACAAATTAATAGAACTCACAGAATTTTAGACATTTATTAATTTGTATGAATATATTTGTTGTATAAAAAAAAACAAAATTGGTTTGATATATATATATATATATATATATATATATATATATATATATATATATTATATATATATAAAGATGTCATGACTCATTTGTCCAATTTGCGATAAACTTTGTCAGCTAGATATCAGGTCATCAAATAATTTTTTTAAATTTTTTTTTATTGCCCCAGAATAGTCTTTTACCAAACCAATGTACATTATTATCCTGTTACATATATCTATACGAAGTGAAGAGAAAAGCTAAAAGATTTGATTGATGAAGCTTTATTATGAATTTAGAGAAAAAAAAGAGTACAATATTTTTGCTAGATTTTTTTTAAACCCAAACACATCAACAATAAATATTTCTATTATTTTTGTTGCTGATTTGTTTGTGTTTTTAAAAAAATCGGCATATATGACTAATAGTGATTGGTACAATTTTGTTTATTGTCAATATAAAATATATTTAATTTAATAAAAAAAATTATATAAGTAGATTTAGTTTGTATGATTATTGTGTAGGGAGTATTTTGAATGTCTTGCATTGATTTTTGGTAAATGAGGTAAATGATTTATGAGTAATGGCTTCTTAATGGATATATATATATATATATATATATATATATATATATATATATATATATATTTATATGACTTAAACGGCATTGTTTCAGAGAAAGGAATAAGAAAATCAGATTTACAGAAATTAATTACATTTTGATAGCTTTCTAAAAGTAAGCAAGAACAACTACGTTTGTTTATACAATTTGAATTTAAAAACATAGTACAAGATTCGAAAAATCTTCTAAGATCCACATTTTTTTCTTTATATAAAAATATATGATGGTCAGTAATAAAAGAATGTTTAAAGTTAATAATGTGTTCGGAAAACATTGTTTTAAATTGTTTTGGATTTTTTGAGTTATTAATATGGTGATTTATTCTCATGCTGATATATTGTGAACAATAAATCTTAAATTTAAAAAGACAAAACAAGATATAGAAAATCTTTTAAGGGCCACGTTTTTTTCTTTATATAAAATTATAGGATAGTCAGTATTAAAAGAGTGTTTAAAATTAATAATGTGTTCAGAAAACATTGTTTTAAATTATTTTGGATTTTTTGAGTTATTAATATGCTGAATTGTTCTCTTGCTGATATCTTGAGAACTATATAAATATATATATATATATATATATATATATATATATATATATATGTCTTACAAGAAGCTATTACTGTTATTTTGTGATTTTAAATTTATAAAAACGCTTAAACAAAAAAAAATCAATGCAAGAAAAAATCGCCGCCTTTCTTAACTCTTCTTTATTCTAGTTGCTCTAATTTTAATATATTTAGTTTTATAACTTTATCCTTTATATTTTTGCGAAAGGTTTATTTATAAATTATTAATAAATAAATAATTTATGATAAATATTTTCTTATTTTTAAATGTGCATTGTACGCTTTTCGCAAAGGGAAAATGATAAATGATAAATATTTCTAAGTTGGAATTTGTTTGGAAGAGCCATATTTTTTTGGGTATAAAATCATTTTATAAATTTGAAAATTACGTGTATATATATATATATATATATATATATATTATAAATTTTTATTAATATATATTTTCATGAATTGTGTAAAATTTGCTTAAAGTATGAGCTCTCTATATATGAATTTTAATGTTAAAATGTTTTTAATCTTAGAAATATATGGAGTACATGATATGTAAATAAAATGCAAAATAAAAATTATAATACTTAAAAATAAACTTTTTGTTAATTTCATTTTTAAAACGATATCTTGGTTTTTCTTTGTAGAATCTCATTTGTATTTTGATTTTTGTTTAAGGGTTTTGAAATTGTGAAAAATTGATTTTTTGGAACTTTTAAGGGATGAGTATATGTATATCGTATTGAAAAATAAGCAAATTTTTTTTTTGAAGTAAAACTTGTTTAGGCGCGACTAGGGTGTAAATCTGTGCAAATGCAACGGAAGAGCGTTACGCTCGAGTAAATGATTCGTCATTCGCTCTCTAAAGGGGTCGATTGTGATTGGTCGTCGTGTCATGTGAGCGTCTTTGAGTGAAGCAAAGTTAGCAAGATTTGTTTTTTTTTTTATATCAAATCTAATTGATAAAAATTATGTTGATAATTTTGTAAAAAAAACACACTGATTTTTGTAGATTTTTAAAAAGATAATTGTATTATAGATGTTAACAGAACTTGTTTTGACCCTTTTTTTTAAATGGTAACGGGCCAATTTTCCAGTATTTTTTTGGTATGCATATATTTATTGTCAATCAAAACGTACATTATTTTTTAAACAATATGCTGGGTTATTCTAGTAAAATAGATGACTTGTTTTACTTGTTTCTTGGTACTAAAAACTGTGAAAATGACTATCTTGTTTTAGCGGAAAATTGGCATTTAAATCTGCATATTTTTCAAATATTCACAAGACCCAAAAATCCTTTTTAGAACTTCTTGCTAAACTTTTATTTTTTAATTTAAGTTTTCACCATAAAATTTATTATTATTATCCAAATTTTTGTGAAAAAATCTGTCAATTTTTTAAATGACACCGAATTTTTATTTGACTCGCACAGTTTAGTTAACTTTTATTTCATAAACAATCCAAAATCATATATAAATTTAAACGTCACGAGTGACATTTTTTTCAAAATAATGTTTGTAATTTTTTTTTTATTTAATTTATGTTTATATTGTAATTTATATTTGACTTTGAGACTGATATTTGCCGACGTAAGTAGAAAATAGAATTAAAAAATCTTTTTGTTAAAAAAATTAATAAATAGATAAAAATATATAATAATAAAATAGTAACAGGAATAACATTAGGATGTAAAAAGGAGAAATGCAATATTTTATAAATAATTAATATGTAACAATTGCATTTCTAAGATATTTATGAAAATGCACATTACTCCAAAATTTATTGCAATTTAATTTTGTCAAATTGTTTTAGCATAAGTTTTTATCCATAAACATTCTAAAATTTCTTTAAATTCAGCAAGTTTTATTCAAATGCATCCTAAAAAATTGCCTGAAAATTTTTTAAGAACTTTTTTAAAAACTTGTCTTTAAAAATGCTTTTGGATCGCCCAAAAAATCGCATTTGGTTCAAAAATATTTTTTTCAATACATAAGGAGAACTTTATTTATTTTATTACTGTATTTAGTTTAGGCATTTATTATCTAATTTATTTATTTATTTTTTAGCATGACGTCATAAACTTGGATTATAATTTTGATGGATTCGCAACTTTCATCGAACGAAGAGCACCCTAAGTCGCCACTTTGGGGATCATGCAGGTATAAAAATAACAGACATTTATATATATTAGGGTTGTTTTTAATATGAACATTTTCGAATTTCTTTGCTCCCAAGGGCTCAAACGCTTCTAAATTGATAAAAGAAAATTCTATAAAGGTTTTGGCTCTTAATATTAATATTTAGATAGTCCGCAATTCGATTGAAAGTAACATATTTTTTTTAAATTTTTTTAGGTTGACACTGAGTGTCTGTGCCTTTCTGGTCCTGGTCAACATGATTATGACCAGATACTCCTTGGCCCTAACTCTGATCTGTATGGTGAGAACACAGGATGCCGAGACCAGTCTGGTAATTCTATCGGATAATAACAAATGCCCGAATTGCAGACAGGAATATAGAAAGGTAAAGAACTTAATAGAAAAAATCATAATTAAGGTAAATGTACATTATTCCGGGATAGTACATTATTACGGGAGTTTTTCATTTTGATCGTAAAATAAGAAAACGGTCAATAAATAACAATTTTCGAATTTAAATATTAGTTTTTAAGCCCTAAAAAGCTTTTGAAAGCATCGTTCGTAACCTGATCGCCATTTCGTACTAGCTTGTTAGCGAGTTATGTGACGATTCCATTGCTTAAGGCTTTTATTCGATTCCGATAAGCTTAATCGATTCAAATATGTAAATTTTTTTATCAGTAATAATAAGAGATTAGTTTTATAGTTAAATCGAGCATATATTTGTCAAGAAGTTGTCAATTTCATGACTCCCGCAATTAGGTTCACACAACTGAACCAGTGAACGTAATTCCGTGAGTATCCCGCAATTACGAGAAGTAGACTTGAAATAGTTTTATTTTTTTATTTTCAACTGTGCTTAAATTAAGCAGAGTTTCTGGCGTCATTAAGTTTGTTAATGACTACAGAATACTGTAACGTAATTACTGTATATGTTTTTTTTTTCATTTTTAATCATAATAATCGTGTTTGAAATGAGTATATCTTTCGTAAGAAAGTACACGATTTTTTCACTTATTTGCATTGTTCGAATATACCTAGAATATTGTAGTAATGAGAGAATCATTCATTTCTACCATTTCATTTATGATCAATTATTTCTATTATATATCTTATATATAAAAATGGAGCTCTCTTTCAAATGTCTTAGTAAAACTCGAAAACGGCTAAACCGATTTGGCCAGTCTTAGTCTTGAAAAATTTGTGCTAATCAGTAGGTGGTCGGAAAGGTGAGATATTATTTCAAAATTGGGTAGAAACTTTACATTTTTAATTTGAAAATTTTTATAGAAGCGTAATTTGAATAAAACAATGGACAGTGACTAATAAGTGAAATGTCAAACGTTTTTGACAGATGATGTTTAATTACTTTTAATAGGATATTCTGCGTAAATATTATTGAATTATGATTAAATTGTAGTAAGTAGATTTATTCGTAGTTTTATTTATATACAAAAAACGTTAGTTAACGGACCGCAAGTGTTACTAGAAACTCAAAATATCAATCTTTTTAAAATGTTAATATAAAAATGCACTTTTTGGCGTTGTAGTACTCTTTTTTTGCAAATCATATTTTTCTCAAACACGGTGCTCTGAAAGATCTCATTTGTATAATTATATACTCATTGGTATTTATAAACCATTTTCTAGGTTATATTATTTTTATTTGTTAGTATCAATCAAAGGGACATTTTGTCGAATAACATTTTACCAGTTATAATTTCCCAGAATTTATCGAAAAATAAACAGTAAAATATGAAGGTCCGGGGTTAAAAACGTCCACCACCGATGTGTCAAAAACCAGTAAAGTTAAACATTGTTTAACAACAATATTTGAAAGTAGAGGAAAAAAAATGTATAATCAGCTATAACCTTGGTTCGAGCGCTATCACGGAATAATGTACAACGACTCCCGGCATTATGTTCACGTAGCGAATTTTATCACGGAATTAGAGACAAACGCGTGGTTCAGCAAAATGCCGATTATTTCTATAAATGACGTTTTACGACGAAAAATCTTGTTTTATAATAATCTTAAAGGTCTAATTAATAAAATATAACAGATTTAGTTCGTCCCCTTTTCTATTTTCTCTAAAATTCGTCTTTAAAGACATCCCGTAATAGGGTACGTTTACCTTATGTCCAATCTAATCTTGACAAGAGCCTGAAATAATATCTATTATTATAGATTACGGCTTGCTTATGAATAAATAAATAAATGAATAAATAAATAATAGTTTTTTGTCTTATATTTGCCCACGATTTTTTTCTTTCTCAGTATGACTTCGATTGGCAACCAAACGTTCAAGGGCGCCTGAACGCAGCAATTTTCTACGGCTTCATAACAACGCAGCCATTTGCAGGTTACTTTTGCGACAGATTCGGCGGCAAGTTGCTCTTCGTAATTGCTGCAGGTATGCAAGGAATTTGCAGCTTGTTTTGCCCGGTTGCAGCAAGATTGCATGTGGAATTTCTGTTTGTTTTGAGGATTATCCAGGGGTGCTTTTCGGTAAGGGAAAAAATATCGACAACTTGTGTACTTTTGTTACGTAGTTATAGAATTTATTAAAACTCTCCTTCGATAGTTTAGGTTGTTGGGTTATAATTTAACCCTTGTAGCTGTGGACTGTATTAAACACTGATTTGTTTTGTATTTGTTGCAGTTCTTATTACAATCACTGATTTGTTACTAAGTTATAATGAAAGAAGATATATTTATTTTTATTGGTTACTTACTTGCGGGCTTTACTTTTCGAAGTGAACAACTAGTACAATTAATAATAATATTAATAATTGCAAAATTTTAGAATTGTAGAATTGCAAAATTCCACATTTGCAGAATTCCACAATTGCAGATTTCTATGTATTTTAATATTGCTATTTTAACAATGCTATTTTAAAGTAGAGGGCAAAAGGGGTGTGACCAGTTTTGGCTTTAAATCAGGCGACGTCACTGTCACGAGATAAAAGACCACGTTGTCAATTTTATAACATAATTTAGAGTTGTTAGTTTTCCATCACAATTATGTCAAAAACAAGTTGGGTTTTGACAATGCTATTTGAAAGTAGAGAGCGAAAGATGTGTAACCAGCTGTGGCCTTAAATTGGGCGACGTCGATATCATGAAATAAACCATCACGTTGTCAATTTTGTAAAAAAATTTAGAGTTGTTAGTTTTCCATCACATTTGAGTCAAAAACAAGTTGGGTTTTGACAATGCTATTTGAAAGTAGAGGGCAAAATTGGTCTGACCAGCCATCACTTTAAATCAGGCGACGCCACAATCACGAGATAAACGACCACGTTGTCAATTTTATAACAAAATTTAGAATTGTTAATTTTTCCATCACTTGTCAAAAACAAGTTGTGGTTTTAACAATGCTATTTGAAAGTAGAGAGCAAACGATGTGTAACCAGCTGTGGCCTTAAATTGGGCGACGTCGATATCATGAAATAAACCATCACGTTGTCAATTTTGTAACAAAATTTAGAATTGTTAATTTTTCCATCACTTGTCAAAAACAAGTCTTGGTTTTTACAATGATATTTTAAAGTAGAGGGCAAAAGATGTGTAACCAGCCATCACTTTAAATTGGGCAACGTCGATATCATGAAATAAACCATCACGTTGTCAATTTTGTAACAAAATTTAGAGTTGTTAGTTTTCCATCACATTTGAGTCAAAAACAAGTCTTGGTTTTCACAATGATATTTTAAAGTAGAGGGCAAAAGATGTGTAACCAGCCATCACTTTAAATTGGGCAACGTCGATATCACGAGATAAACGACCACGTTGTCAATTTATGTAATAAAATTTAGAGTTGTTAGTTTCTCCATCACATTTATGTTAAATTTCATAACTATTTTTAGAAATGTTAGCTTTTCCTTCACTTTTGTCTCAAAAACAAGTTGTTATTTTAAAGTAGAGGGCAAAAAATATCTGGTTTTACATTTATTGCCCTCTGTGGCCTTAAATTGGGCGACGTCGTTATGACAAGATAAATTGCTACATTGTCAAATTCTCAACAAATGTATTTTTTGGTTGTTAGATTTTTTTTGTTTTGAGCACTGTTATTTAGTTTACTATACCTAAATATAATTTTTAAGTATGTAAACGTTGTTTGAGAAAACGTGTTGTTACTTTTATTTATTTTATGATTTTTTTTATGTTGAGTAAAGTATGTTATTTTTCAACAATGCTATTTTAAGGTATGGGGCAAAAGGTGCGTGACCAGTTTTGCCCTTCAAGCAGGCGACGTCACTGTCACGAGATAAACGACCACGTTGTCAATTTTGTAACAAAAGTAATGTTTAGACTTATTAGTTTTTTCTGGTTTTGAGCACTGCTGTTTAGTTTACAAGACTTGAATATGATTTTCAAGTACACAATATATTGTTCGACAATTTTATGATTTTTTTTACACAAATTACTAATACAATTCTAAATACAATTAATAATAATATTAATATTAATTACCAAGGGTAGCAACCATTCCCTGTAATGCCCTGAAGTTTGTCACCTTCATGGCCAATATAATAAAACGAAAAGACGTCCGAACAACTTGATTGACGAATATACTTGTCATGATAAAGTATATTAACTGGTTGATTTTTATTGTTTTAGGGTTTTACGATTCCGGCAATGTACGCCCTGTTTTCCAAGTGGACGCCTCCAAAAGAGAAGACTCTGCTTTTGGGTTTTGCCTACAGTGGTTTTCCAATGGGTAACATTATTGTTTACCCTTTGTCCAGTGCACTTTGCAGACTTGATTTCGATGGAGGTTGGCCCTTGGTTTTTTATTGTATAGGTAAGAAGAAGATCAATTAGTGATAATACTTATCATTAGCGCAGTATCATGTTGAGAATTATATTTAAGGGAAAAATTAATTAATCACGTGATCAATTTTTTAGGGATTTTCAGAGCCCTTCTTCCTCCACCAAACATTACGAGTATTTTTAGTAACGTAAAATTTTCCCAACGAATTTTTAAAGTTTACGAAAAAAACCTGAAACTTGTGTTTTATTTTTTAAAAATTTAGGTAAAAAATAAATACAAGTGATATGTTACTAGACCACTATTTATTCCGTGATTTTTTGTGATTTTTTGTCAACCCCCAAAGAGGTGTCGTGTAAAGGACGTCCCCAAATCCTTTTACACGAGAATAGAAAATTATAAACTTGTTTTTGGACAAACTTGTTCTAATATTTAACCAGAAACTGGGTATATACAGCAAAGCTTTGATGTCCGAGAAGATCATTACCATTATCTAAAAAACAAGTAAAGTATGGTATTCTTTAACAATGCTGTTTTAAAGTAGAGGGCAAAAGATGTGTTACCAGCCTTTGCTTTAAATTGAGCGACGTCGTTATCACGATATAAACGTTGTCAACAAAATTCAGAGTTGTTAGTGTTTATGTATAAGACATGTCGTGATTTTAGCAATGCTATTTTAAAGTAGAGACATTGCTATTTCAAAGTAGAGGGCAAAAGATATGTAACACGCTGTGGCCTTAAATTGGGTGACGTCGATTTTACGAGATAAACGACCACGTTCTCAATTTTATAACAAAATTTAAAGTTGTATCATTTATCTCAAAAACAAGTTGGGTTTTAACGATGCTGTTTTAAAGTAGAAGGCAAAAGAGGAATGACCAGTCTTTGCTTTTTAGACGACGTCGTTATCACGATATAAACGACCACGTTGTCAATTTTATAACAAAATTATTTTTTGGTTGTTAGTTTTTTTTGGTTTTGAGCACTGTTGTTTAGTTTACAAGACCTGAATATGATTTTTAAGTACACAATATATTGTTCTACAATTTTATGATTTTTTTGTTCGTTTTAGGAAGCTTCGCCATCATATTAGGTATCCTCTTGTACTTCCTAACATTTGATGATCCAAGTGATCATCCAAGAATTTCAGAAGCTGAAAGGAACTATATAAAGTCCTATCATATGAAGAAGTTCTCAAAGGTAATTATAGTAAATAGGAATAAGGACACTATTTTACCCTGTTTTTCTACTGACACTTCTTACAGCAAAATGTTATTCCATCAATGTCAATCATTGTTCTTCCTTTTTACTGCAACTCTTTATCGCAAATTCTGATTCCATCAAAGATGTTAATAATAAGACAACTTTGTTCATCCTTTCCACTGAAATTTCTTAAAGTTAATTTTACTGTTAGTACGGTTTTCTTTGAAAGTTTGGCCTGTCTTACGTTTTGTGATGTAATTTATTTTTGTCTTTACCTAGTCTAGTAATTATTTACTCCATTAATTTGTCAGTTGATCATTAATTTTGTTCAAAACCCATCTACTTTAGCTTTCAGCGGATACTGGATACATCAATTAATCAATCGACTAGTTCTTCATCACTGCTAAGTTTACATTAACCCATAATTTAGAAAATTCCTGGACTCAGCAATTAATTAATCGACTAGTACCTCGTCTATGTACTGGTTACATTTATGATTCTTCTATCAACTTCTTAAATGTCCAATTTTTTTTCTAGAAACTGAAGACACCCTGGATATCAATGCTAAAATCAATGCCAATCTACGCTTACAACGTTGCCCATTTTGCCCAATCCTGGAGTTTCATAACATTGGCCACTAGTATTCCAATGATGCTCAAGGATATGCTGGGACTTGATATGAAATCGGTAAGATGATAAAAATTATTACTAATAATATGTTTATTGCATTTTTGTTTTTTTTTTCTAGAATGGTTTTCTGTCAGCCCTGCCCTATATCTGCAGCTACATCTCCAGATTCACGATTTCCGTCACTTTTAACCCAATAAAACGACTGACCAGGTTGAGTTTGACGAATATGAGGAAGGTTAATCATGTACTAGGTGAGTATATGAGTTGTATATGATAAATAGTGAAATTGCAGAATTTCATAATCAGAAAAATGCATGAATTTTAGAATACTAAATTGAATATCTTTTGAAATTACAGAAACTTATATATTGTTGAATTCTATAATTTAATAAATATTGAACCATGACAATTTTTTGAATGGAAATATCCTGTTATTATGATGTTCTAATATATCTGTATAGTATATTGTAAAAAGCAGAATTTGTCAAAATTACAGAATTTCATATTTGCGGATTTGCAGAATCATACATTGTTGAAAATAGACAAGTCCAAGTCCATGATGACAAAATGTCAAAAATGCAGAATTCCACAATTGCAGAATTTTAGAACTGCAGAATGTTAGAATTGCAGAATTTTAAGAAATGCAGTACTTTAGGAATTGCAAAATTTTAGAATTGCAAAATTCTAGAATTGCTGAAATTTAAAATTGGTTAGAGTTGCAGAATGTTAGATTTGCAGAATTTTAAAATTGCAGAGTTTTAGAATTGCAGAATTTCATTATTGCAGAATTTTAAAATTGCCTAATATCAGAGTTGCAGAATTTTAGAATTGCAAAATTACATAAAGCAAAATTCCAAATTTGATAAATTCTGGAGTTGCAGAATTCCATTTTCAACAAATTGCATGAATTGCAAAAATCAAAATTTATTAAATTCTATGATTGCAGATTTCCATAATCAGAAAATTGCATAAATTGCAGAATTCCAAATTCAATAGAACCACAAAATACAGAATGACATAATTGAGAAATTGCATGAATTGCAGAATTTAAAATTTAATTAAATTAAATAAAATAATCGAAAAGTTGCATAAGTTGCAAAAATCCATAAAAAGCACAGAATTACGTATTTAATAAATTCTGAAATTTCAAAATTGCGTATTCGGATAATTGCATAAATTGCAGAATTTTAAAACTGAAGAATTCCAAAATTGAGGAATTTTAAAATTGTAAGATGGCATTCCAGAATTGCAGAATTTTAAAATTGTAAATTTACGTTTCAGAATTGCAAAATTTTAAAATTGTAAAATTATAGAATTTTCATCTAATTCTGGAATTGCATAATACCATTGATTGTGGAATTTTATAATTTAACAAATTCTGAAAATAGAGAATCTCATTATTGTGAAATTACACAGTTAAAAATATCTAAATTTGATAAAATCTGAAAATGCAGAATTTCATAATCAGAAAAAACATACATTTCAAAAATTCAAATTCAATGAATTCTGAAAAAACAGAATACTGTAAATTGCAGAATTCCATAATTTATTAAATTCTGAAAATACAGAAAACTATAATCAAAAAATTGTATAGTTTGTCGAATTCTAAAAATGTAAAATAATAAATTTATGAAAATTAAATAATATATATTAATAATAAAATAATAATTAAATAATAAATTAATAGAATTACAACATTCCAAAATTGCAGAAATTTAAAATTGTAAATTTACAAATTGTGAAATTCTGAAAGTCCTGAATTTGCAAAATTCTGTAATCAGAAAACTGCAGAATTTTATATTTATGAAATTTTACAATTGAAAATATCTAAATTTGATAAATTTTGAAATTACAGAATTCCATAATGAAAAAGTTGCACAAATTACTGAAATTTAATAATGCAGAATTTTCAATTTGTACTATTACACAATCCCAAAAATGCAAAATTTTAAAATAACAGCATATCAGAATTTCAGATTGTAATTAGTCAGATATTCAAAATTTTAAATTTGTGAAATTGAAAAATTTTATAATTGAAAAATTGCAAAAAACTGCAGAAGATTTACTGAATTGTAAGATTTGAAATATGCAAAATTATGCAATTGTAAAAAAAAATAAATTCTAAAATTACAAATTAACTAAATTTCACATTTGCTAAGTTTGAAATTGACCAAGTGTCATAAATGTATATTTCCAATTGTAATATTCCTAAGTTGCAAGATTCCAAAAAATTCCTACATTGCAAAATAAATGTGTAAGCGCGTGTGTACGTGCTGGGAAGTACCAGCAATTTGCCTTAAGGCACGATGCCATACACCACTAGTCCAATTCCAATCAACCAACCACCAATAATCTTTTCCCATCCCCAGGCACCGCCATCCCAGCCTTGAGCCTACTCTGTCTCGGCCTAATAACCAGAGAAGACAAATTCTGGGCAATCCTGTTGATATCCTTATGCACAACATTCACCGACGTCGGCCTGACAGGCTCATACCTGATGAGCTACCTGGAACTGGCTCCACCTTTTGCCAGTTTCCTAACAGGATTCTCTAATACTGTCGGATCTCTTCCTGGATGCGTTTCTAACACATTGACTGGATACTTAACCACTAATGTAAGTAGATAGGGTAAAAAGATAGAGGATATTTATGTTTGTGTTTGAAGTCGTTCTGAATCGTTTGTGTGTAATTATAATAATGAAATTAAAGTCATACTTCAAATACGACATGATCGGTTTGTCATTGTAATTAGCGTTTAGGAAAAGAAATGAAGTAACTGCTGATTCATAACTTTTATAATATTTATTCACACAGTGGATTATGTTAAACAACGCCTAAACAAATATTGTTTTCGCAACTTCACTCATCATGTAATAATTGTGTTTGAAGAACTTCATGTAATTAAAATTAACATACATTCATTGACTGCTTGTATTTTTTTTGACTATTTCGCTGGCTATACAGTCTCATTCTTTGAACAGATATAATATCTGTCTTGCCTAAAAAATTGAAGCCATACTTTTATATTTGTTTTATTTATCAAGCCCTGCACATGGCTTGATCTATGAATCATTTTCTTTTTTATGTGAACGTTAGTTAATGCAATGATCATCATCAATATTACGAGGTAATAAATTAACCATATTATTAATGTCAACAGGCACATTTATAATTTGGCCAAATATTCCAAATTGTCCATTTGAAAGTCGCAATTTTAAAAATGTGTATAATATTTAAAAACAATAATGTAATTAAAGTCATACTTCAAATATGTCATGATCGGTTTGTCATTGTAATTAGCATTTAGAAATGAACTTTTGTTAGAGAAATGAAGTAATTGCTGATTAATAAATTCTATAATTTTCGTTAAACAACGCCTAAACAAATATTGTTTTCGCAACTTCACTCATCATGTAATAACTGTGTTTGAAGAACTTCATGTAATTAAAATTAACACACATTCATTGACTGCTTGTATTTTTTTGACTATTTCGCTGGCTATACAGTCTCATTCTTTGAACAACTGCAATATCTGTTTTGCCTAACAAATATTTTCCATTTTAATAACGAATCATTACCTGGATGCGTTTCTAACACATTGACTAGATACTTGACCACAAATGTAAATAGATAGATCAATAGATAAAGGATATTTATGTTGGAGTTTGAAGTCATTCTAAATCGTTTGTGCGTAATATTAATAATGAAATTAAAGTCATACATCAAATACGACATGATCGGTTTGTCATTGTAATTATCATTTACGACTTGAACCTTTTTTAGAGAAATGAAGTAATTGATGGTTAATAAATTCTATAATATTCACACAGAAGACAGCTGTAATACAACAATCTTAAATAATTTCATTAACACTATCAATAAATAAATTGCATAGATGATATTAGGTTGTCAAATATCTCCCTTCCGCCTCTTTGTCTTCTGAATTATAACTGTTGAACGCAATATCCAAACTAATCATGCATAGCGTCGTTTTGTAGGTTATGTCAAGACCTTTCAAATTATGTATAGTATTGCCAGATACGAGCTCTGTAGCGCTTTGTACATAGCCGCGAAATTCAAAAGACAAAAAGGCGGAAGGGAGATATTTGACAACCTTATATTATGAAGTATATCTGTCTATAAATGCTGTCTCGTTTTCTACTCGTCGAGACCTTTCAAACGAAACCCCACATGCCATAAAAAATTTAATCTAAATTTTTTGAAGTAAAACTTCTTTAGGCACCTATGCTAGAATTCGTAAAAAGTTTTGTTGGTTTTAGTATTTACTACATCCCAGTTATTAAAGAAATCAAATCATACTACAAACTATTGTTGTTCTTGATTTCTTGTTTAGAGTAATAAGTCTGAATATAAATTTAATCTTCATTATTTATAAAAATATGCAACTTTGAAATACTTTACGTCAGGATCAGTAAAACGAAATTGTAAGCTTTGACAGTAAAATATCATTAAATTACCAATTTCTTCTTATCGTGTAATTTCTCCCATTTTTTGTCCTAATTTTTAGAAATAATAATTAATCTATTATTATACTTCATGTAATTACAATTAACATACATTCATTGACTGCTTGTATTTTTTTTTACTTTTTCGCTGGCGATATCGTCTCATTCTTTGAACAGTTGTAATATCTGTCTTGCCTAAAAAATATTTTCCATTTTAATAACTTCATTTAAAGATTTATAGAAACTACAAGTCCATTTCTTATTTTATTTTTAGTTTTGCTCGTCAGTAGAGTTCCTTTTTAATGTTATTTTCAGATTGCTCGTCAGTAGAGTCCATTTTTCTTTAATTTTTAATTTAATCATCAGTAGTCTCTTTGAATTTTATTTTTATTTTACTCGTCAGTAGAGTCTCTTTGAATTTTATTTTTACTTTACTCGTCAGTAGAGTCCCTTTTTCTTTAATTTTTAGTTTGCTCGGCAGTAGAGTCCCATTTTCGTTCATTTTCAATTAAATTATCAATAGAGTTTTTTTTTCTTTCATTCTTAATTTTTATCAGTAGAGTTTATTTTTCTTTTATTTTTAGTTTTGCTCGTCAGTAGAGTCCCTTTCAGTATGCTCGTCAGTATAGTATCTTTAGTAGTCAGTAGAGTCTTTTTGAATTGTATTTTTATTTTCCTCGTCAGTAGAGTCCGCCTCTTTTTTTAATTTTTAGTTTGGTCGTCAGTAGAGTCCCTTTTTATTTACGAATAATATAGAAATAATATCTAATCAATAAACTTAAGTTTCTACACGACACAAGTTTAATTTGTTTTATTATTTTTAAGGGACAGGGTAAAATATTCTTCCGATTCAGGCATTTTTCATTAAATCAAGATTTGTACTACGACGTAACTTTGAAATGTTTATTTATCTATGCCGATTTTCTTGTTGATGCCGGTACGCATACAACGACAGATCTCTATTCACTCTACACGACGACTAATCACAATCGATCAGTATAGAAATGATATCATCGAGAGCGAATGACAAACCATTGGCATTCGACTCTTATTATATCGACTTTTATCTGCAGTAACGCACTTCCGTTGCAGTTGTATGGACTTACACTCTATTCGCGCCTGAAGAAGTTTTACTTCAAAAATATTTTACAAAGTTTAAACAATTATAAGAATAGTAGAAGATATAAAAAATGAAAATTTCAAGTTAGTAGAAAATATATCAAGATTTTTACCAAAAAAGTTCAGCATATCTATACAGTTTTTGACATTTTTTAAAAAAAAAAGTTGGTTTCTTAATTTTCATTTCCTACCATACTGTTAATCATAATTCATTTTCTTAATGTCTAAAACTCCTAATAAGCGTATTGCTGATACTATTTATAAAATGAGTTGTAACGATTGCAATTGTTCTTATATTGGTAAAAGTTCACAATATTTATTTATTTATTTATCATATAGTCCACCGAGTAGCTCCAGGAGGACTTAAAAAATTTAATTTTAATAATTCATATTATAATAATACTTAATAATAGCATTAAAAATGTGTATAATATTTAAAAACAATAATGTGATTAAAGTCATACTTCAAATCTGACATGATCGGTTTGTCATTGTAATTAGCATTTACGACTTGAACCTTCATTAGAGATGTGAAGTAATTGCTGATTAATAAATTCTATAATATTCTGTAATAAACGCCTAAACAAATATTGTTTTTGCAACTTCACTCATCATGTAATAATTGTGTTTGAAGAACTTCATGCAATTAAAATGAACATACATTCATTGACTGCTTGTATTTTTTTGACTATTTCGCTGGCGATAGAGTCTCATTCTTTGAACAGTTGTAATATCTGTTTTGCCTCAAAAACATTTTCCATCTTAATAACTTCAAAGATTTATAGAAACTGCGAATAATATAGAAATAATTTCTATAAGAATTTTGAAAATGCAGAATTCTAGAATTGCAGAATTTCCCAATTGCAGGCTTCCACAATTGCAAACTTCCACAATTGCAGAATTCCAAAATTACAGAATTTTAGAATCGGAAAATTTTTGAATCGCAGAATTTTAGAATTGCAGAAGTCCACATTTGCAGAATTTCACAACTGCAGAATTCCAAATTTGTAGAATTTTAGAATTGCAGAATTTCACAACTGCAGAATTTTAGAGTTGCAGAATTTTTGAATTGTAAAATGACACAATAGCAAAATTTCAAATTTGTTAAATTATAAAATTGCAGAGATCCATACTCAAAAAATTTCATAAAATACACAAATCTAAATTTATTAAATTTTAAAATTGCTGAATTGTATAAATTGCAGAAATCTAAATTTAATAAGTTCTAAAATCGCTGATTTTTATACTCAAAAAATTACATAAATTGCAGAATTCAAAACTTATTACATTAAATATGCACAAATCTAAATTTATTAAATTTTAAAATGGCAGAATTTCATATTCGACAAATTGCATGAATTGCAGAAATCTAAATTTAATAAATTCTAAAATTGCAGAATTCAAAACTAATTACATTCTAAAATTGCAAAATTACATAAACAGAAAATTACATAAATTGCAGAATTTCGAATTCAATAAAATCAGAAGTTGCAAAATGGCATTATCGGAAAATTGCATAAATTGCAGAAGTCTTTATTCAATTAATTCTGAAATTGCATAACTATCAAGCAATTGCATAAAATACAGAATTTAAAATTTAATAAACTCTGAAATTGCTGAATGCCATATTATTTAATAAATGATGTAATTGCAGAATTTCAAATTTCCAAACAAAAAATAGCATGATTTGCGGAATTCTAGAAATGTAAAATACTAAATTTATGAAATTATACAATCGCAAAACTACAGCATTACAGTTTTGAATTGTTTGTGTGTAATCAAAATTTGTCTCTTTTAAAAACTGCTGAACTGATTTCAATAATAATAATGAAATTAAAGTCATACTTCAAATATGACATGATCGGTTTGTCATTGTAATTAGCATTTACGACTTGAATCTTCAAACAAATATTGTTTTTGCAACTTCACTCATAATGTAATAATTGTGTTTGAAGAACTTCATGTACTTAAAATTAACATACATTCATTGACTGCTTGTATTTTTTTTGACTATTTCGCTGGCGATACAATCTCATTCTTTGAACAGCTGTAATATCTGTCCTGCCTAAAGAATATTTTTCATTTTAATAACTTCAAAGATTTATAGAAACTGCGAATAATATAGAAATAATTTCTAATCAATAAACTTATGTTTGTATACGGCACAAGTTTAATTTGTTTTATTATTCTCAAGGAACAGGGTAAAATATTCTTTTGATTCAGTAGTACAAGATTTGTACTACTGCTGAACCAATTTTAAAAATTTAAAAGACATTCGATGACTTTAGTGATAATTTTTTTTATAATTTTTTTCCCCAGGGTACAAGAGAAGAGTGGATGGTTGTGATTTACATTATGGCAGCGATGTACCTTGTCGGTGGTATTTTTTATGTAATTTTCGGCACTTCGGAGTTACAAGAGTGGGCAATCATCGAGGACAACCCTTAGTGATAAAGTCGTTTTTATTTATGTAATTAAATTTTTATTTCTATGCAATTTTTATTATCAAATTTATTTACGATATTATAAAATTATGTACGACTGAGTTAATTAGTATTAATTATTAATAAGACGATTGGTTAAAAATGATTATTGGAATTTTGAGGGTGAAAATTGAGGGTTGAATAAATTAGGAAAATTTCTTGAAAAATTAGGAATTGATCCAATTTAATAAAAGATTATTTTTAGACCCGGGCAACCCTCCATTAAATTGATTATTAACTTTCCGATAATCGATAATGAAAATTTTCGCATTTCTCGACGTTTCGAAGGTTTCTGAACATTTTACTGGCATACCTCAGAAACCAAATGGATGTGTGTGTGTGTTTTGTATGTACGCATTTTTTCGTCCACGTTTTCGAGCGCACGGATTAACTGATTTGAATGGTTTAAAAAACATTCGATTTCTATTGATAGGAAAATGTGTTGATTAGTTTTTGGCAAAGGCAGGTCCAGTCCAGAAATAGAAACCGAGTTTTTGAGAGAACGGATCATCCGATTTGTATGATCTAAAAAACATTCAGTTCGTAATGACGGGGAAAAGTGCTTATTAGTTTTTGGCAAAGGTAGGCTCAGCGGTTTCGGAGATACAGAGCTAAATGTTAAAAAAATGGCAGTTTTTGAGAAATCTAAGCGTCCGATTTAAATGATGCAAAGAACTTTCTGCTTGTTTCAACAAAATAATTGCTTTTGGAAAAAAAATTTTTGTTTCTAATTTTTTTTTCAAAAAATATTTTTGTAATTTTGGATTGAAAATTCAAAAAATTACCCAGGCGAAGCACAGTCTAAGCGCCACTATGGTACAAATGTTTAACTAAGTGCGTTTAGACTGTTTATGTATTGGGGCACTTTTCCAATTTTGTGAAAATTATTGAAAAATGTGAAAATGCCGCCAAGCTAAGCACAGTATAAGTGAAAATGTCGCACAGAATTATTTGCAAATGCGTTTAGGCCGTGACTATGGCGAGCATTTTTTCAATTTTGTGGAAATTTTTTGGCAACTATTTTTTTTTTGAAATTTGATTTGCGATGAAATGACGATTGTTAATATTCTGGAGATGATAAATTGATTTATTTTAAATTAACTTTCCGTAGGGTAAGTTATAGTAATCGCGAAAAATCGAAAATGAAAATTTTTATATATCTTTACGTTTCAAAGATTTCTGAATATATTGGCACACCTTAGAGAAAATTGATGTATGTGTGTGTATGTGTGTGTGTGTGCGTGCATTTGTGTGTGTTCAGATACAAATTTTCGTCGACGATTTCGGGAACCGGGATGAAGCAATTTGAATAATTCAAAAAACATTCGATTCGTATTGATAAGGAGACGTGCTGATTAGTTTTTGTCAAAGGCAGGTCCGTTCCGAAGATATGGGGCAAAAAGGGCCAAAAACGGTAACTCAGTTTTTAAGAGAACGGAGCGTCCGATTTGTATAATTCAAAAACATTTTACTTGCATTATCAAGATGAAGATTTGATCAAATTTTCATGAAAATAGGTCTAGCGGTTTCGGAGATCTAGTAAAAAAAAGTAAAAAAAAAAAATAACATTTGGCGGTCAACAATAATCATTAGACATTAGACATATGCACATCAAATTATCAGATATTTTATTGAGATTTTTACAATAAGTATACATTTTGTTAACATTCCTATGGGTTCCGTACCAATGCTTATGCGTTAGACAGCGATGCGGCGCTTACGCGCTTTGATATTTAGTCTCTATGCATTAAAGCAGTACGATTGCTTTGAACAAAAGTTCAGAATTTCGAAAATATTTCAAAATAAATTTTTCAACAAAAAGTAAGTTTTTGTCAAAAATTTATATAGTTCCTCAAAAATCTATTTTTTTCAGAGTAAATTTTTTTCAAAAATGTTAATCTTTTCAAAAAAAAAATAATTTTTGGTACGGGAAGTTCCAGAAATTTGCCTTAAGGCACGATGCCATGCGCCCCACTAGTTGTTTTTATAATACCTCATTGTATATAGCATTCAAACAACACATCCTTATACACTTAAAGTATTAATATTTTTGATTCTCTAGAAATTGTCTAGAATATACCTTATTTAGCAAAACAACGTTTGCCGGGTCAGCTAGTATATATATATATACTAGATGACCCGACAGACATTGTCCTGTACTCACCTCTACGTTTTTTTAATATCCTATACTAATATTTATACCGTTCAGTTCAAAATAATCATTATTGTTTTTCGAGTTACTATTTACACCAATACATGAGTGATGTTAAATGTAGTACTGTTTCAAATAAAATGATTATTTTCAATTCCTACAGTTAACACTTTAATTATCCCTTTAACAAATATTAAAATATATTCAATAAAATTATATATTAAAAATTATACACTGCGATTTATAACACAAATTTATTTCCAATAGTTCAATTTATTTTATTGAATTTAAGGGTTATACAATATTTTTAGACATACCTGTAGATGTGGATGTTTAAATGAAAGATTTTTTGTTTATTCACGGCTAAAACATTGATTTTCCAAATTTATCACCATGTATTTATTGTCATAGCATAGATACACGTGTTGAAAATTAAAATCTTTTAAAAAGTATAACAAATTCAGAAAGAATTAATATATAGCATGCGCGGTCAAGGTACAATATCACCTTGGATTTTTCTACCCAAAATAATTGCTTCAATAATGTTGCCTACAATTTTTATAATTTCGTACCATATTTTAACTGGCTTTTAGTATTTTAATATCTAAATTGCATTTTTCACACTAATAATTCAATATACATTATTACTTAAGTTCATATTTGAAGTGAATTAATTTGTCAAATTTTTGTTCACATGTGCTCTATTCAATCTACTATCAACAAAATTATTGCAGTAAATGGAGAGGAAAAAAGCGTATGCCCAGCTAATCTTAATCTAAAGTTCAAAAGTGAAAACAATTTGCATTTTGTCACCACCCCCCGCATTAATTGGATTATAACTCTTTTAATTCTGATTTTATCAGAACTTGTAATATATTATTTTAAAGGTAATTAAATGAGCTACAACTTTCTCTATCATAAATTTTACCCTAACTCCTTTTATTTTGAAACGGCGAAGGGTTAAAGGGCTCGAAAGACACTCTGGTTGGACAGCCGCGCACTCTTTAAACAAATAGAACTCTATCATTATTTGTGTAACAAAAAATAATAAAAAGCAATAATTAGTCTGAAAAATACCTTGAATTTTCATATATAAATACTTTTATACGTATTCTTTCAGAGATATTATAATGAGAAATTGGCTGTTTTTTTAAATGGATTTGTTTTTATGAAATCATGAGTTTTTTGAAAATCGTTTGTACTAATGTCATGGTATTTTCTAGAATCCTATTTTAATCTCTCAACCAAGTTAATTCTAGATGGAAAACGATTATTTTTAATTTTGGTGGAAATGGTACTCATAAACTATTTAATTTAAGTGAAAAAAAACATTGTATGCGGCTTATAATTGCATGATAGCTCACTCAATTTACACGCAGAAGTACTTCTTTTAAAGCTTATTTTGAGAACTATAAAAACCCATTTTCATAATTAACTTAATATTGTTCCTAGAACACTGTAAAATAGCGATTTATTAGAATTTTTATTAATATAATTTATTCATTACATGATTTTCGTTAAAATGTATATTTTTGAAGATATTAGCAAAAAAACAATGAAAAACGCAAAAAAGAAACAAATTATCAGTAGCCAGTAACTTGAAAAGTGTTTGCTTTTTTGAAAAACATTATGAAACATTTTTCTCTTATAATTAGTTCTTTTATCCATACCCAACGTTATTACACCACTGAAAAGAAATGGCATCCCCCCGGGTAGTGCAAAGAAGTCTAAATTGTTTTCACTTTTGAACTTGAGAGTAAGATGAGCCTATTTCCAAAATTCCAAATGAATTGGAAAACAGTAAAAAAAAGTTCAGACCCAAAGCGCTCCATTGAGTAAATATTCCGTACAAAATGCCAACCATATGAATTTTTGACACAATGAAACTTCTAAATAATTTTTTTTGTATTGTGACTTAGTATAGTAAGGCAAAACGACTGCAAATAGAATATTTTTGAGCGCAATCACTTATGGCTCGTCTCCTTTGCACGAATTCGTACGGCAAATCTGATCGCAAAGTGCGCAGACAAAATTATTGCAAGCAAAACCAAACCACGCGCACGTTGAGAACACGATTCGCCGTGCGCGTCAGACGCCTGCGCAGACTGTCCGACGCATGTTATGTTATTTGCATCTTATATTAATTTAATTATGGCACATCTCAGCTGCTTTTCGGCATTAATAATGTAGACATTTCATTTTCTTTATTTTTAATCATGAATTTATTATATTTTAATATTGCCTTAGCCTATAAGTGAATAGAAATGTTTGGCAAATGACAGTTGTCATTTGTTTTTAACGTCAAACCATGCCTTAAATATTTTAAAGACCAAACAATGATAAGCTGTTTTTTGTAATTTTATCCACTTATTTCTACAATCTAACTATATTTCTATGAATCAAAATATTCTAGAAAATTTTCCGAACAAACTTCAGGAAGATTCATGAAAATCTGAATTATAGTTTAGAAGGATTAATGAAACTTACATTGTTACAGAACAATTTTATATATAAGATATATATTATGTTAAATGTTAAATATGAACAATACAACACTCCGGATTTTAACACACACTTTATTCGGTTATAGAACATATAGGAGTTCTGATTGCTGTTCAAACAATAAAAAAAAATATATAGACTTCGGATTATCCGGAATTCGGATTATCCGGAATTCGGATTATCCGGAATTCGGATTATCCGGAATTCGGATTATCAGGAATTCCGATTATCCGGAATTCCGATTATCCGGAATTCCGATTATCCGGAATTCGGATTATCCGGAATTCGGATTATCCGGAATTCGGATTATC